TTTTTTTTTTTTTTTTTTTTTTTTTTTTTTTTTTTTTGAGGCAGAGTCTTGCTCTGTCGCCCAGGCTGGAGTGCAGTGGCCGGATCTCAGCTCACTGCAAGCTCCGCCTCCCAGGTTTACGCCATTCTCCTGCCTCAGCCTCCCGAGTAGCTGGGACTACAGGCGCCCGCCACCTCGCCCGGCTAGATTTTTGTATTTTTTAGTAGAGACGGGGTTTCACCGTGTTAGCCAGGATGGTCTTGATCTCCTGACCTCGTGATCCGCCCGTCTCGGCCTCCCAAAGTGCTGGGATTACAGGCTTGAGCCACCGCGCCCGGCCGGATTTTTTTTTTTCGAGATGGGAGTCTCGCTCTGTGATCCAGGCTGGAGTGCAATGGTGTGATCTCAGCTCACTGCAACCTCCGTCTCCCAGGTTCAAGCGATTCTCCTGCCTCGGCCTCCTGAGTAAGTGGGATTACAGGTGCCCACTACCATGCCCAGCTAATTTTCATATTTTTTTAGTAGAGATGGGGTTTCACCATCTTGGCCAGGCTGATCTCGAACTCCTGACCTCAGGTAATTGGCCTGCTTTGGCCTCCCAAAGTGCTGGGATTACAGGCATGAGCCACCATGCCTGGCCAATTGGACTTTATTATAATAAAATTTAAAACTATTTTGCAAAATACAGTGTAAAGTGAATTAAAAGACAAGCCACATCCTGGTAGAAAATATTTGCAAATCACTCTTCTGTTTTTGTAGAGATGGGGTCTTGCTATATTGCCCAGGTTGGTCTCAAATCCCTGGCCTCAAGTGATTCTCCCACCTCAGCTTTCCTATAGAGGGGAGCCACTGCTCCTGGTCTCAGCATCACCTTTTTTTTTTTCTCTCTCTCTCTTTTTTTTTTTTTGAGATGGAGTCTTGTTCTGTCGCCCAGGCTGGAGTGCAGTGGTACGATCTCAGCTCACTGCAGGTCCTGGGCAGGAGGACCTGAGGAGGAGAACCCAGCTCCTGGGTTCAAGCAATTCTCCTGCCTCAGCCTCCCGAGTAGCTGGGACTACAGGCATGCACCACCATGTCTGGGTAATTTTTTGTATTTTAGTAGAGACGGTTTCACCATGTTGCCCAGGCTGGTCTCAAACTCTTGACCTCAGGTGATCTGCCTGCCCCGACCTCCCCCAAGTGCTGGGATTACAGACATGAGCCACCACCCTCAGCCTGAGCATCACTTTTGAATACAAGTTTAACTTTCTCATGCCAGAAGCAGGGCTTAGTCACCCTTGACAGTTTCCAGTTCTGCACCTAAATGGCTCAAGCTGATAGCAGCCATAAGAACTTAGAGGCGTCTCTCCTGCCCAGAAGCCTGGGCTCCCCACTTCTCCCCCTTTCCTTTAGAAAAGGCCGTTCAGACATTTGCCCATGAACTTAAGGGACACGCTCTCTATTCCCTCATGTTTGCTGCTAGCAGAGCCCCTGCTCTGCCTGATTTGCCATTTCTGCCTCCTGTGAACTGTGGACCCCCAGAAAAACATTACAGAACTGCCCTCCTACTATCCTGGGCGGCACAGCAAGACTCTGTCTCTAAAAAAAAATTACCCAGGTGTGGTGGGGCATACCTGTAGTCCCAGCTACTTGGGAGGCTAAGGCAGGAGAATTGCTTGAATCTGGGAGGCAGAGGTTGCAGTGAGCCGAGATCGCGCCATTGCACTCCAGCCTGGGTGACAGAGTAAGACCCTGTCTCCAATAAATAAATAAATAAGTAAATAAAAATAAAAATAAAACTCTTTAAATGATAAGAAAACAAATAACCCAATCAAACAGGGCAAAAGATCTGAACAGACAACTCACCAAAGATTAAGATGTACAGATGGCAGGTATGTAAATGAAAAGACGTGCGACATCATCTGTCATTAGGGGATTGTAAATTACAACAATAATGAGATGCTACCGTACACCCATCAGATTGCAGTGCCACCAAATGCTGGTGAGATTGCAGAGCAGCAGGAAATCTCACTCATCACTGGTGGGAAGGAACAGAGCAAGCCACTTTCTAGCCTCAGTAAGACTGAAGGCAAAAGAAACTCTTCATCAACCCCATATTCTACTCGGTGACACTGTTCTCCGTGGGGTGCGGGTGAACAATCCTGACACGGCTATACCCCTGCGCTGGAATCAGACAATTAAGTGCATGGGCGGAGGACGGCTCCCAGGCGTTCCACTGTTGGATGGGAATTCACATAACAGCAAAAGGAAGAAGCCAGAATGAGCCGTGCTGCCTGGACCAGGGCTGGAGACATCAGCTCGAGCGCAATGGTCACGCGCAGGAACATTTGCAGCTCTGTGCACACTCAGGGGACTCGCAAGGGCTGGCAGAGCATGGCTGCCTCTCACTCTGCTGGCTGAGACGGCCTGGAAGCAGCGACCCCTGCGACCAGCACTGCCGGCCCCCAGGCCGCGGCTCCTGTTACTGCTTTCCAACAGAAGGAACTGGGCTCCCTGGACCAAGGCAGGAAATACACAATGAGCTGGGGGCATCCTGTGGAGCTAAAAATTGAGGAATTTCAAAACCAAGCCAGGCTGAGCGCAGTGCCTCACACCAGTGATCCCAGCACTTTGGGAGACTGAGGTGGGCAGATCACTTGAGGTCAGGAGTTGGAGACCATCCTGGCCAACGTGGTGAAACCCCATCTCTACTAAAAATACAAAAATTAGCTGGGCATGGTAGTGCATACCTGTGATCCCAGCTACTTGGGAGGCTGAGGCAGGAAATCGCTTGAACTTGGGGGCAGAGGTTGTAGTGAGCCGAGATGGACCCCATCTCAAAAACAAAACAAAACAAAACAAAAATAAAAAACACACAAAAAAACAAAAAACAAACCAAAGCAAAACCCCACAGTGATGGGGTCATGTAAAAAGAGCACAGGAGCCAAGCAGAAGAGCTCCCAGTGGCCAAAGCTGGACTCACACGAGCAAGAAAATAAACAAAATCGTGTTGAATTATAACCTAAGCATACAATACTCCTAAATCCAGACTGACATAAATAAATGGTTGAATAAATTAGTAAATGGGGAAAAGAGACAAATCTCTTACGCAAAATAATTCCAGATAAATTACACCTGGTCCCTGGTTCCCACGGCCCTGGCCTGTGGGAGGCCTGCTTGGATTGGGGCTGCTTGGTCAGGAGCCCTGCCCGCCTTTCCAGACTGCCCCTGAGGCAGCCCTGGGGCCAGGAGGAGGCCCCTAAACCCTCCAGATGCTGAGATAAAGACCTCAGCCTCTCGCCACATTCAGCAGGCTTGCAGCAGGTGACCAGGGCCAGGCAGCGTCCGCAGGCAGAACAAGACATGGGGAAGGCAGGAGGTGACCCACCGTCTTTACAGTTCTCCTTTGTGGCTCAGCCCCAAGGCCACCGTGTGGACAGCTTCCCAGCCCCAACATAGAGCCTCCTTCCCCTGACCCACTCACTATCCATCCAGGTCTCCCCTGAGCCACGGTCTTAGACGGGAGGACCACCTGCCCTGGAGGTCACCCCCCTGCATTTTCCCACACACCTTGGCACACCTGACTCCATAAGGTCCTCGGGCCTCCCTCCCCAACATCTCAGCCAGGGCCGGACCTGCCCCCGTACCCTCTCTCAGCCAGGGCCGGACCTGCCCCCCATGCCCTCTCCCAGCCAGGGCCGGACCTGCCAGCCCACCCTCTCTCGGCCAGGGCCGAGACCTGCCCCGTTACCCTCTCTAGCCCAGGGCGGACCTGCCCCAGTGCCCTCTCTCGCCAGGGCAGACCTGCCCCAGCCACCCCTCTCTCGGCCCAGGGCCGGGCCTGCCACGTGCCCTCTCTCGCCAGGAGCCGAGACCTGCCCCGGCCCTCTCGGCCCAGGGCCGAGACCACCCCGTACCCTCTCAACCGCCAGGGCCGGACCTGCCCCCGTACCCTCTCTCAGCCAGGGCCGGATCTGCTCACTCATCACTCATGCTGGCTCCTCCCAAGGTGGTCAGGGGCAGCCTCTAGGAAGGGTGCCCCTTTCCCCCTCTGCAGGTGCCTCACACCCGCTCTGGCCGGATCGCAGGCAGGTGGCAGATGGGTCTGGCCGTTGCAGCTCAGCACAGCCACAGAAGCCGTGGGGCCTCCTCTCCCCGGAGCAGTGCCCACCCCGGGACCTGCCAGGCGAGCACAGTACCACCTGCCACCACCGGGCTCTGCGCAGGCAGCGAGACAGGGGGCCATGCTCAGCGTGTGGTACCTGGCCGCGGCGCGTCTCGCAGTTGTGGAGGTAGCTCAGGTGATAGATCTTCAGGTCCAATGTGGCGAAATTCAGGTACTTCAAGAACACCTGAAACGGGAATCGCCACAAGAGGAGTTAAAATTCCAGCTTTCAGACATGTGCCCCGTGGGTATTTTGCAGGAGAAACGTGCCCTCCTGAGGCTGCCCAGACAGGCCAGGAAGCTGTGCCTAGCACACAGACATGGACTGGCACACGCAAGCTCAGGTGCACAGGGCGGGCACGTAAGCTGTCTCTGTCTCTGTCACACACACACACACACACAGGTGTGTGCAGACACACAGGAGCGATGTGCGGACGAGCACACGGAGCCCAGCAGCCCAGCAGACGCGCAGCACAGAACACGTGGGCAGGCATGCGGGCAGGCAGGCAGGCAGGCAGGTAGGCAGACTCGCCACACAGAACACACGGGCGGGCAGGCAGGCGGGCAGGCAAGGAGGCACTCACGTCTTCGTCTTCGCTGGTGAAGAATGGGCCGTTGAGCTTGTTCACCGCCATGATCACCGCCACGACGTCTTTGCCATTCATGATGGGTGTGGCCAGGATATTCTTTGTCTTGTAGTCAGTGAGCTCGTCAGCAAATGAGCTGAAGTGAGGACACTGCCGCAGGAGAGGAAAGAGGCTAAAGAGGCTGTCGCTGCGTGGGCCTGGAGCCCGCACCACTGGGGTTGCTGCCAAGCTCTGTGGAGGCCGCTGCCCTCCAGGTGTGAGGCGCCCAGGGGCCCTGCTGGGCACTGGAACGTGGCCACTGGGCGATGAGAGCTGGGCCTGTCCCTGTGACTCCAGCCTGGCTCTGTGCACCTCTGTGCGGAGGACGCTGGTGCCCCCCAGTGCTCAGTCCAGCAGACCTATACAGGCCTCACCGGTGGCCCCACCCTGCCTGGCACTTCCCGTGCCGTCCCACACCTGCCACCTTCCAGCAGCATTGGGCCTCCTGGATGCTTGTTGAGCCTGCCTGCTCACCTTGTCCCTGAAGCCTCCTGGTGTCCGCCACCCTCTCCTGCCTTCAGCCCCCTGCAGGACACTCCTACACTCTTCCCCAAGAGACAGCTCCTCGTAGGATGCGGGATGAGCCCATTCTGATTGTGGGCTTGTTCGTGGGACACTTTAGCCAGGGCAGGTGCAGCTGGCAAGCCAGGGTGAGAGTCCTGGCAGCCCTGGGGTCTGTACGCTACCCCTCTGGCCTCCCAGGCCCACACTCCCAGGGGTCTGCTCCCTGGGATCTGGGGCCCACTGTGATGAGAACTTTGCCTGCCTCTGGCTCCTGGGGGCTCCCCACCCACCCCCACTCCCACCAGATTCAGAGCAGCCCCTCTTCTCTTTGGTTTTAGGTTCCGGCCCCCCAAGGAACAGGTCAGCTGAGCTCTGCCTCGGCCCAGACGCACTGAGGGTTACTGAGACCAGGCACCCCCAGGCGACCAGGATTCCGTCCTTCAGAGAGTTGGATGTGACCCCAGACCCTCCTCTTACTTTCTGGTACTGACATTTGTTTACATGAGGCCAGGGTGCCCTGGGGCAGTGACCCAGATCAATGGCTCCGGGGTCGGCCCTGCTGGGGTCTGGACTTCCCACCTGTGCGACCTGCAGCAGGCACAGGGCAGTTCTACGGCCTTCTCCTCACTAGTCCATGAGGCAAAAATAACAGGCTCTGCCCTCAGCCACTGCACCAGCTGAACAGGAGCTCCTGGGATGCGCCTCACATCTCGTGCTGTTTCTAGGCACGGCAGCCCTGCAGCGGCAGAGGGCAGACTCCTCGCAACTTCCCTCCACCACCTTGCCCAGAGGAAGCCTGCTGGGGGCTGGCCGAGGTGCCAGATGCTCCTAAATGGCACTCATCCTTCCTGCTCCTCCTTTCCTGATTCTTGGAGATGCAGCTGCTGCCCATAGCCACATAGGCTGGCGTTGAAGGAAAACCAGCGTTTAAAAGATGGTGCGGCAGGAAGACGGGTGAGTGAGCCCTGGCAGGGGTGGCAGCATGGGCAGTGGGGGCAACATCCCTTTACTGGATCTGAAACAGAGGGGTGTTCCCTGAGGGAGGGCTCATCTCACCACCTGCATCCCCCGAGAGCTCATCTCACCACCTGCATCCCCCGAGAGCTCATCTCTGCACTGCGTCCCCCGAGAGCTCATCTCTGCACCTGCGTCCCCCGAGAGCTCATCTCTGCACCTGCGTCCCCCGAGAGCTCATCTCTGCACCTGCGTCCCCTGAGAGCTCATCTCGGCACCTGTGTCCCCCGAGAGCTCATCTCGGCACCTGCGTCCCCTGAGCCAAACACAGCACACTCCTGCCTGCTTGTTGTGGTGCCCGTTGTGCCTGTGGCGGTTTGGACAGTGTCTCCTCCACCAGCTGTCAGTGCTACAGTGGCCACCATGTGTACTCCCTGTTGAATTCAGATTCTCTGTGACTGTTTCCTTCCCTTTCTACCTGGAGTCCATCCTTTTAACCCATCCCTTGCCAACCTCACTGACACTCTCACTTGGGGCCCTTCCCTGGCTGCTGATCGTCACAGCATGACACCTGGACATAAACCAGTGATTCTGGAAAGAGCACAGCGTGACCCTGAGACAGCGCCACACAGATCCACACAATGTGACCCTCATAACCCTCAGATGGCACCACACGGATCCACACAAAACGATGCTTAGACGGTGCCTCCTGGATCCACATGTGATCCTCAGATGGCATCACACAAGATGACCCTCAGATGGTGCCACACACAAATCCACGTGACCCTCAGACAGTGCCACACGGATCCATACAGCATGACCCTCAGATGGTGCCACATGGACCCACACAACGTGACCCTCAGACAGTGCCACATGGATCCACACAGCATGACTCTCAGCTGATGCCACATGGATTCACTGGCGTGACCCTCAGATGGTGCCACATGGATCCACTGGCATGACCCTCAGACAGCACTACAGGAATCCATGCAATGAAACTGAGATGATAACTGGAGTGGTGCACACAGATCCACACATGCAGGATGGCCCTCAGATGTGCCACATGGACCCACACAACATGACCCTCAGGCTACAGGGATCACACAACGTGACCACCAGACAGCGCCAAGAGATCCCACACAACATGACCGACCCTCAGATGGTGCCACATGGACCCACACAACGTGACCCTCAGACGGCACCACAGGGATCCACACAACGTGACCCTCAGACAGCGCCAAGAGATCCACACAACATGACCCTCAGACGGCACCACAGGGATCCACACAACGTGACCTTCAGATGGTGCCCCACAGTCACACAGGCTATGGTTGATGAATGTTCAGCATCACTTCTCTTGCCAGCCTTGTCTCTACCAGTTTCTTCCTGGATCTCAGACCTGACTGTCACTTCTCTCTGCCCCACACATTTTCACAGCTCTAGTTTCACAAAGAAAGTATGGGAGCAGCCACAGAGCCTTCCCGCCTCTATCTTGTGGCCTGCCCTCCACCCAAGAACCTCACACTATTTGTCACCTTCTCTTCTTCATAGTCTCTCCCCATCCTGCGATTTAAGTGCACTCGGGACTCTGTAAAATGCTCTCTCAGCCCATTCGTCTGCCATCCTCTCTCCTTCACAGCTGCTCCTGGATCCCTTGCCTTCCTGGCTGCATCACTGGTCTCAGCAGGTGCCTGGCTCCATTTCAGCTCTCCCAGCTGAGGTGGGTGGGCCGCAGTTACCATCCTGATGCCAACAGCCTCTCTCCTTCACCACTGACCCCATTCACTTCCTGGTCCTTCCAGGCCTGTGCCTGGAAGATACACCCTTGGCCCCAGCACTGAGACCTTCACCCTGAGGTTTTGTGACTGCAGCCCCTTGGTGTCTCCCCAGCCCCCACACCCTTAGGAGCGAGCGGAACAGCTCCTTAGAGGTCCAGAGCAGGCAGCCAGAACTGGGGCTTGGCCACCGCGGAGGTTCTGCCAGAAGCTATGCTCCTCCGAGCAGGTAGTTTTGAGTGAGGTTGCCCCTCGTTCCTCCTTCCCTGTACCTTGTCAGGCCTCTGGGAGCAGCTGGTCCAGCGACTTCCCAGGAACATCTGTACCAAGCCCCGGCTTGCACTCTGCCCTCCTCAGCTTCCCTGACACCACAGGGAATGTTTACTTTTTTGTAAATCTGCCATCAAGACTGCAGAGTCCCACATGGAAACATCCGGCCACTCTCTCACTGACACCGGCTCTCCTTTCCTCGGCATCTGGTCACTCTGCTGCCCATGCATGGATGGGCACTTGGTACCAGCTGGGCCGCAGCCACCTTGGTCCCAGCTTGGCTGGTGCAGCTTCCAGCCTCAGTGGCTCCCCTCCCCGCCCCTGTTGGCCCAGCAGCCCGACCCCAGCCCAGCCTTCACTTCCTGGGATGACAGCCCTGCAAACTCCCCTCAGCCACAGGGACGGACCCTCGGCCTCTCCGTCCAACTGCCAGCTGCCCCACCCATTGTGAAATGCAGCAACACCATGGTGAAGATTAACTTGTGGCCTCCGCCGTCCCCCCCGTCCCTCCTCTCTGGTGCCCTCTGGGCTCTGTGTCCCCCCGTGGTGATGCTCAGTGGGAGGGTCCCCTGCTGGCCTCCCGTCTCTCCTCCTTGGTACCCTCTGGGCTCTGTGTCCCCTGTAGTGATGCCTGGCTGGGGGGTCCTTGCCTGCTGGTCTCTTCCTCTCCACTGTCCCGTCCAGGCTTCCCTGCTTCCCCAGAGCCTCCTGGTCAGACGTACCAGGAGCCTCACCTGGGAGCGGGCGGCAGCTGTGGACTGTCAGGCTCCTGGGAACCCCCTGCATCTGCTCTGCCTCTAGCAGGCCAGGGTGTGTGCTCACACAGCCGAGCAGCTGGGCCTGGCTCTGGGGCCTTCACACCCACTGTGGCTTCTCCAAAGCACCCCAACCCTCCGTCCCACTGCCCAAGCCCCCCGCCTCCTCTGCCGTCTGTGCTCAGCATGGCTGACGGCCGGTCCTGCCGCCCTCCTCCCTCTGTCTCCGGGTTCCCACCCAGCCCGTGTTCTCAACGCCTCTGCTCTGTCCAACCTTGTAGTGACCACCACAGGACTGAGTCCAAGGGTCTTGATTGCTGGCAACGTGCAGGACCCTGTGATGAGGTGTTTTGGGCCAGGGTCAGGGGACCCACTAGGGACCCGGACGGGCCTTTGGGGTGGGTTCCCGTGACAGTCCCAGGGAGAGGAGCTGGGAGAGGGATGGAGGGTGAGGCTGCATGCACAGCACTGCGGGGTTCGTGGCTGTTCGGCTGGGGCTGGGCTCAGAAACCGCTGCAGAGTCAGAGCCGGGGTGTGAGTCCTGCCCTGCCACTTGGTGGCCGTGGCCAAGCCCCCCCCAGCCCGCCAGGATCTTCCATCCCAGCTGCCCTCGCTGTGAACTCTTGCAGGTCTGAGGAGCCACAAAGGAGTGATGGCGGGGCCTTCCCAGTCATCAGGTGTGGGCGGCGTCCCTGCCCGGGGTGCACGGCGGCGGACGGGGAAGGCCGTGCTGTCTCACAGGCCCACTCACTCCTACCTCTCTGCACCTGACCTGTGCTTCCTTCCTGCCGAGAGGCTTGTCTGGGGGCTGTGGACACTGGGTGGCTGGGCAGGGCCTCTCACCCAGCTGCCCCGCTGGCTTCTGACATGTTGGGAGGGATGGAGGAGGGCCTGGTGTCCACCTTCTGGGACCTGTGGTTCCTGAGCCCAAGGTTTTACCCACGCCCAGGCCTGGGCCGGGCTCCAGGAAGGTTGTGCTCAGTCCTGAGTCCCGGCAGCGCCCTCCTTGTGCAGGCCCTGGGATCTGCCGTGTCTCCCAGGCAGCTGCTGTGACACAACAAGCGTAGTTCTGGGAGCAGACAGGGCCTTGGAGCCATCAGCTGAAGCCCTGCACCTCCCAGAAGTGGGTCCCACGTGGCCTGGCACTGCCTGGGCTCCCTGTAGGCCTGACAGTGTGAGCCCTGGGCAGCCCCTCCCTCCGTGGTGGCTCCTGGGACAGGCCCCTGGGGACAAGAGGGCCCACAGGCCAGGCTACTGCAGCCTTTGCCCTGGCCTGACACTCTCAGCTCCAGGAGGACGGATGCTCGAAGCTCAGGGAGGAGCTGGTTCCCCAGGGCCTGCCAGCTCTGTGCTCAGGAGCAGGCTGGTTTAGCCACTGCAGCTCCCTTGTGAGGCAGACATTATTTCCCCAGTGTAAACAGGGAGACAGGGTTCAGGTGGGCAAGGCTCTGGGTGGCCCTGGTGTGCCATGCTGACCACTCACGCCCCGTCTCAGGGACTCTCGCACCACAGCCACGTGCTGCTCTCCCAAAATAGCCGGTGTGGCTCACACCCCCCGAAGAGGGCTCAGTGGGCCAGACTGAGGTGTGCTCTGCCTCAGTCTCCCCTTCTGTAAACTGAGATGTGAACCCAGAAGCCCACCCCTTGGCAGTGCTTAGGGTGCTGAGATGCACTTAATGAAAATTTGCATTTAATGAAAATTTGTTTTTTTTGGCAGTTTAGACTCAAGTCTCTTCCCTTAGTCTGAGATAACTAAGACTCCACAGAATGGAGGGGCAGACACCACGCCCAGCCCCTCAGAGAGGCACCAGCTACACTGGGCAGGGGGGAGGCCTCAGGGGAGGTCAGTGCTGGGGCAGGTGCGGCCATGGCACTGGGGGTGGGAGTGGCAGGACCTGGAACAGCCCTGGGGAACAGGCCAGGCTGAGGGACAGACCTAGGACAGCCCAGCAGTTTGAGGGGGACCCGCAGAGCAGGGACGAGATACCATCAGCTGGGTGGGGACAAAGGCGTGAAGGGGTGGTGGCAGCAGGGGATGAACTCCTGGCGGGAGAAGGACACAGCCCGGGCTTGCGACAGGGTGGGGACGAGAAGTTGTCTTGGAGATTGTATGCAGAAGGAAGGAAGGGAGAGAGGGAGGACGGCAGAAAAGGAGGGAGGAGGGCAGCAGGATAGAGAGAGGAGAAGGGAGGAGGGAATTGGGGGAGGGAGAAGGCAGCTGGTGTCCACCTCAGGCACCACCACTGCGAAGTTCCCTGGCTTCCTGGTAACTTACGCTCCTGATGCATGATTGATTTGTGGGTGCCCCACTTCTTAGGAGGGAGGTGGAGACGAAGGTAACCCCGGGGATTACCGAATCTAGGTCACTGCCTCACTGCTTGCTTACTGCCGTTGGGATAAGAGGATTGCCACTTCCGGCCTGGTGCGGTGGTTCACACCTGTTATCCCAGCACTTTGGGAGGCCAAGGCAGGTGGATCACCTGAGGTCAGGAGTTCGAGACCAGCCTGACCAACATGACAAAACTCCGTCTCTACTAAAAATACAAAAATTAGCCAGGTGTGGTGGTGGGCGCCTGTAGTCCCAGCTACTCGGGAGGCTGAGGCAGGAGGATGGCTTGAACCCGGGAGGCGGAGCTTGCAGTGAACCAAGATCGTGCCATTGCACTCCAGCCTGGTGACAGAGCGAGACTCTGTCTCAAAAAAAAAAAAGAGGATTGCCACTCCCTCCCCAGCTGCCTGGGAAGGAGGGACCACGCCTGCCCCTGGGCAGGCGACCTGGTGGGTAATTCCCAAGACCCATCCAGCAAGAGCAGAGGCTGCCTGGGCCCCTTGCAGCCTCCTCAGCCGTGGGGACAGAAAAGGGGAGAGGAAGCTGGGGACTGGTGCAGGACAGGGAGAAGGGGCTTCTCCACCCCCCTTCTTCCTTGGAGCCTCCTTGCCAGGCAGCCCCTCAGGGCCTTTCCAGGTCTCTGCTGGCCACTGCCCTCACCCAGTCTGGTAGGCACCTCACACCACACTTGTTCTCCAATCCCATCAGGGCCGCCTCTGTCCTCAGGAAGTGTCTGCCCTAGCCTGTGCTTTGCATGGACAGGCCCTGGCCTTCCCGCCTTCAGTGACCCCAGTGAGCCTGTCTCAATTCTCAGTCTCTCGTCCCTCCCCCGTCCCACCCTGGACCCCCATGCTCGGTGGCTCCCAGGTTTGTTCTTCCCTGGTGGCCAGTGTTGGCTCCCATGGGATAAAGCTGCTTCTGTCACGGTGGGAACTCGGGGTTTCCCCGGCTCCCATTCCTTTCTGGGCATCTGCACCACCTTCAGCTGTGACCTCTTCTTCCCAAATCCCAAGGCAGGGCCAGAGAGCCCTGAAGCCCCCACCTGGGCTGTCTTCCTGGAAGCCAGGGGTCCTCACACGACCTACACGGTCCCCACCATGGGACACCCAGGTTTGGGCCTGAGTCTGCTTCAGCCGAGGCTCCCAGACTCAGGTCTCACCAACTCAGTGGCCACACGATGTCAGCTTGAGCCAGAAGCTCTGAGCTGGAGAGGCAGGCGGCCAGGGCACAGTGCCGGGCAGGGCCTCTAGGTACTCGCTCCTCTGCACAGAACAAGCCTGTGCCCTGATAAGAGGCCTCCCTGGAGGCCTGAGTATCCAAGCTGACCCTCAGACACCTGGGACAGGTGCAGGAGATGCACACAGCCACCTCCCTGAGGCTACGCACAGACCCACCTCGGCCACGTCCTTGACATTCACCATCTTCTTGGTCTGAGCCACATGGCCCACGACCCCAATATCCAGCGGGAAGACGATCTCGGAGTCAGGGGGCACCAGGCAGTCCTCCAGGACGCTGTCTGGCTGCACGCTGAAGAGCCTGGTGGCCAGCTCGGCCACACCGTTGCGCTGGCGGTACATGAAGAGGCTGCAGCGGTCGGCCTGCAGGAGGGTGCAGAGGCGCCGCAGGACCTTGAAGACCACGCGCTCCATGTTAATGTTCTCCTGCATGTCCTGCACCAGCTCCAGCAGCGCCTCGCTCTCCTCCACCTGGCAGAGCTCCCGGAAGCTGTTGCAGTCCGGCGGGCACCTGTCCTCGCAGGCCGCGGCCACATTCTCGGGGCTCAGTTTCTTCCCAAAGTACTGGCGGGCGAAATCAGGGTTCTGGTCGAGAAAGCTCCGGGCCTGCTCCTCACTGAGGCTCATGGTGGCTGCCTGTCCCTGGAGACGCTGCTGCTCCAGGCACGCATGGACTCCCGGGAAAACCCTGTCCTCAGCAAAGTCTTTCTTAGTGAGATTAGGAACCCCGGGGGCGGGTCAGCTGACTCACTCCCACAAACGGGGGCCTGCGCTCCCTCTGCTCAGACCCCGGGACTTCCCACCTTCCGGGAAAACCAGGCCCCGTGGAATGAGGGCTGGGAGTAACCACTGGGGGACCTCCTGCCTGTTGCAGGGGTCATGGGCGATTGGGCACAGGCATTTGGCTTCCAGCAGACCAAGCCCTGAGAACTAATTCCCTGAGGAGGTGATCCCACACACAGCATGACACTTTTTGCCAGCGGAGCTGCCTGAGGGTTTGGGTTGGTCCCACAGGCGGCCCCAGGCCCTCCTGGGAGCCGAGACCTGGGCTCGCGTGTGCTGGGGAGGTGGTGGGGCCCTGGCCCTGCCTCCGGGAGACAAAGTTTACCCTGTGCAGGGAGAGAGGGCTGGGTAAGCACACCCAGGACCCAAATGCCCAGAGGCCAGCAAGGGGACCCTGGATATGGAGGTGGGACCACATGCACCTTCCCCCACACTCTGAGGGATCCAGAGTCGCTAGTCAGCCTTTACCTGCTGTCAGGCCCCAGCCGGGACAAGCTTCAGGGTGACGCCGCTCTGAGGCCACATGGCTGTCGGTAGCAGGAGGACTTGAATGGTGGGGGCTGCCTGGCAATGAAGCCCAGCCTCTCCTCTCCGCTGTCACCGCAGCAAGACCTGCTTGCTCCCACAGGACTCTCGGCTCCTGGGCCAGCTCCCTGCCGGCCGGCAGGGGTGATGTGGCCGGAAGTACCTTGGCTGGGTCTGGCATGGGCGCCGGCCTGGTGGGTGGGTGGCAGTGTTCCTAACTTCCCTGAATATAAAAACGCTGATTGCCGCTTTCCAGGCACCTTTGTGCTGCCAGATCCTGGGCTTGAGGTTTCTTCCCATCTTTTCGAGTTTGTCCGTCCGTGTTGTCACCATGCTTTTAACCAGGGTGCAAGGTTTTCATGTGGTTCTTTTACTGCACTCTGCTGGTAGACGCGTGTGCACACGTGCATGAGTGTGTGCATACGTGTGTGCACGGAGCGTGAGTGTGAGCACATGTAGGTGTGTGTGTTCGTGTGTGAGCACGTGTGCATGACAGCCAGGTGCCCTCTGGAGCGCACAGTTCTCTCAGCACGAGGCCCCGGGGAAGCTTCTGCAAGGGCCCTGGGCTGCAGCTGCCTGTCTCGGGGCTGCTCTGAGTGCAGCAGCTGTGCCGTCCACCGTGGGCCCAGCTGGGCGTGCAAAGCATGCCCTTGTGCCATGATGTTCCTGCCTCCGCTTAGTCACAAAGTCGCTTCCTTTCAGGGATCTGCTGAGAGGCCTCCCCTTTTTCCTAAAAAGAGTGACTTCTCACTGGGGACAGGGAGTGGGGATGTGGGTGGGGGCAGGGCTTGCGGGGCCGCTGCAGTGCTTGGGTTTGGGGCCAGGGTAGAGGGTTGCCTGCTTTGCATTCAGTCCCAGAACAGCCTCCAGGGCCTGCCGGGTGCAGTCCCCGACTCCCAGGGACGAGCTCACGTTGCTGTCCACTTGACCTGGTCAGAGGGGCCTTGCCCTGGTGCAGCCTGCAGGGGGCTCCCAGTTGGCCACTCTTGCTCAGCTCTTGGGGTTTTGCGCTGTGCCTGTGAAGCTTAGTCCTCGGCCAAAGCCCCACGTGGCCCTGTGCAAATCGTTGGAGCCTGTTGAGTGCACAGATTCCTCCTCAGCAGCAACCTTCTCTGCAAACTGCAGCCAACGCTGCCTCCCCAGGGCCAATCTGTCTTCCGAGCTTCATGAGATCTCAAAACAGTAATTCATTTTTGTCTCCCAATTTTCCATAACAACACGTAAATAATTGCTATCATAAATTAGTAGAGCCTCATGTAAGGTAATTCCTAATTTGTGTCTACACAGTGCTCAGCCGATTTTCAAAATAATGAAGATGTTTTCATGTGAATGGAGTGCCCTTGTGTTGTGCACAACCTGAGCAACTGTGCATCTTGGCCCTGTAGTATCCCAGAGAGGCTCTGATTTCCCATGTTGGATGGATCCCGAAACTCTGCAGCAAGCATCTCATGATTAGGAGAACTAGAGTCTTTTTAAAGATTATTTTATCCCCTATTATCCCATAGTGATCATCAAAAAAATCTTTAAAATGTAGATGGCATGGGTATGAATGTTAGAATGGCAACTCTCTGGAGAAACAATCACTGAACTGGTAGAAAGGAATGAAATTATAAAGAACAGTTGAACAAAGAGGATTATCAGCAGATGAGAGCTGTGGCTGCCTGATTTAAAGGGGCAGGAGAAGCCCACAAAAAGGCCACAGGCCAGCCTGGCCAACATGGTGAACCCCCATCTCTACTAAAAATACAAAAATTGGTTGGGTGTGGTGGTGCATGCCTGTAATTCCAGCACTTTGGGAGGCCGAGGTGGGCAGATCACCTGAGGTCAGGAGTTTGAGACCATCTTGGCCAACATGGTGAATCCCCATCTCTACTAAAAATACAAAAATTGGCTGGGTGTGGTGGCGGGTGCCTGTAATCTCAGCTACTCGGGTGGCTCAGGCACAAAACTCGCTTGAACCCGGGAAGTGGAGGTTGCCATGAGCCGAGATCACACCACTGTACTCCAGCCTGAGCAATAGAGTGAGACTCTGTCTCAAAAAAAAAAAAAAAAAAAAAAAAAGCCACAGGAAGGTCTCCCTGTGAGAAGCACTGATTCACCCCACAGCTCCAGAGGACCAAGAGATTCAGACCCTGGGGCTGGTGTCAGTTGGGACTCCCCAGGAAGCAGACACCGGGAAGCAGGTTCACTGTTGATTTGTTTGGACATTGGTCCCCTCCAAGCCTCATGTTGAAATGTGATCCCTGATGTTGGAGGTGGGGCCTGGTGGGAGGTGATTAGGTCCTGGAGGTGGATCCCTCACAAACAGCTGGTGCCTCTTGTGGGGCAGAGTTCTCCCTCTCACCTCCTATGAGCTCAGGTTGTTAGAGCCTGGCCCCCACTCCCCATCCCCCTTCTTCTCCCACCCTGGCATGCTGGGCCACTTCACCTCCCCCACGAGTGGAAGCTCCTGAAGCTGTCACCAAAAGCAGACCCTGGCGCCAGACTTCCTGTACAGCCTGCAGAACCGCAAGCCAGAGAAACCTCTTTCTTCATAAATGACCCAGCCCCAGGTGATCCTTTACAGCAACACAGCTGGACTAAGACAGCATGCCCTGAACTCAGCCCGGACTCCCGACCGAGGCCCTGGACTCAGCCCAGACTCCTGACTGACGCCCTGGACTCAGCCCGGACTCCCGACCGTATGCCTGAACTGGGCCCTGATTCCTGGCCGAGGCCCTGACTCAGCCCAGACTCCTGACGACGCCCTGACTCAGCCTCGACTCTACTCAGCGCCCTGAACTCGTGCTCCAGACTCCCGACGAGGCCCTGGACTCAGCCCAGACCGACTCCAGGCCCTGGACTCAGCCCAGACTCCCGGGACTGACGCCTCGACCCTCGGCCCGGACTCGACTGACGCCCTGGACTCAGCCCGGACTCTCGACTCCAGCCTGACCTGCTCAGACTCCTGACTGACGCCCTCTGACTCAGCCCGGACTCTGGGCCGAGGCCCTGGACTCCAGTCAGACCTTGACTGACGCCTGACCAGCCTCGACTCCCACCAGCGCTTCTGAACTCAGCCCAGACTTTATCGAGGCCTGGACCAGCCCAGACTCCGACCGAGGCCCTGGACTCAGCCCAGACTGACTGACTTCCCGACTCGGCCCGACTGACTGACGCTTCTGACTCAGCCCGACTCCCACCCAGGCCCTGACTCCAGCCCAGACTCCTGACTGACGCCCTGACTCAGCCCGACTCCCGACCGCAGCCTGACCAGCCCAGACCTGGACTGACGCCCTGACGCAGCCTGACTCCCGACCGAGGCCCTTGACTCAGCCCAGACTCTGACTCTGAGCCTTGGACTCCAGCCCAGACTCCCGACTGACGCCCTGGACTCGGCCCGGACTCCCGACTGACACCCTGGACTTGGCCCGGACTCCCGACTGACGCTCTGGACTCCAGCATGCCCTGGACTCAGCCTCAGGGGAGGACTCTAGAAACCTCCCAATACCATGAACCAGAATCAACCCACATGCACGAGTCCAGGGAGACAGAACACTCACACAACCGGTTATGAAAGCAACTTTATTACTCACAGGCAGGCAGCAGGGAACAGCCTAGGATCCATGGTGAGCCGGTCCCTGAGGCTCGGAAAAGCTGCCCAGAACGAAAGGAGCTTTCTCTATGTGTGCCCTGCTTCGCACCACAGCTGAAGGATCCCAAAGGTGCTCTGGGTTCCATAGCCAGGGGTGACCTGACTCACAGGGCTACAGTGTGCGGGACATCCTGCCCTAGGAGGCACAGCCAGGGCTGTCCAGCCGGTCCCTCCCTAGACCAGGTGGTTACATTCCTAGCACATTCTTCAGGTATTCTCGAGAACCACACATGAGAAGGGAGGCCCTTGCTCATTCCAAGGCCATCTGGGACTTCTCCTACAGACACCAAGACAGAATAGGAAGTGGATTTATGGGATGGGGACTCCCTGTGAGGGATAGAAGGGAGATGAAGGAGGAGCAGGTGGGGAACCCCAGGTAAGGGTGTGGTTGTGGCACCTGTGGAAGGAGAGAAAAGGAAGGTGGCTGGGCAGGACCAGCCTCAGGCTGCAGCTCAAGACCGTACTAGCCTTTCGGGAAAGAACGCCTTTTTGGGGAGCCCCTGCGCATGGAACTTTCTGAGTCTAGCACCTGCCATTGCCCAAACTGGACTTCCGGTCTCTGGCGCCTCACGTGAGGAGCTCAGGAGCTGCTGCCCTACCCGAACAACAAGTCAGCTAAGTAGACTGAAAATCAACAGTTCTTTCCACAGCCAAAAGACCACCGAAGACAGGTACCTGGTACGCAAGGGGCTGGCGGGCGCTGGCCTGTCAATCAGGGGCCATGGTTTGCCAGAGCAGAAACGCATCAGTGGAAACCACCTCAGGAGCTTGTTCCAGGGCAGGGAAACCTGAACTGTAGCTGATGAATCCCTGGAGGCTCAGTGTGGGCAACTCCAAACTCCTCCAGGGGGACCCTGTCATGGCGGACACCACGGTGGGGGGGGACCCTGTCATGGCGGACACCACGGGGAGGGGGGGACAGTCATGGCGGACACCACGGGGGATCCACTCATGGTGGACACCACAGTGGGAGGGGCCCAGTCATGGTGGACACCATGGGGGGACCCAGTCGTGGCGGACACCACATGTGTGTGTTTTACCCCAGGAGTTCCAACACATTCTCACAGTGAATATCAGAGAAACATCTCATTCTACAGATAGGAGGACAGAAAATGGAATCATTTTGAAACACACCAGAACATTCTGTCCTTAACAAGAGCTGCCCTCGGCCGGGCGCAGTGGCTCACGCCTGTAATCCCAGCACTTTGGGAGGCCGAGGCGGGCGGATCACAAGGTCAGGAGATCGAGACCATGGTGAAACCCCGTCTCTACTAAAAATAGAAAAAATTAGCCGGGCGCAGTGGCGGGCGCCTGTAGTCCCAGCTACTCGGGAGGCTGAGGCAGGAGAACGGCGTGAATCCGGGAGGCGGAGCTTGCAGTGAGCCGAGATTGCGCCACAGCACTCCAGCCTGGGCGACAGAGCGAGACTCCGTCTCAAAAAAAAAAAAAAAAAAAAAAAAAAACAAGAGCTGCCCTCAGGAGAAACTGTTAACGGGAGTATAACCTGACAGGGGAAGAGAAATATCCAACTTCCACCCCCTCGAGCCATCCTGTCCCGACACCTAAGAAGGTGAGGGGTGGGCGGCTGAGAAACCCTTGTGAAGTTCACAGCCCAACACACAGGTTCACCAAAGACTGAGTCCTGGTTAGAAGGTTCTAGAATGCTTCCCCTCCCCCTACATGTTACGACCGTATCACTAAAGGCATCTTTACAGCAGGTCTTTATACTCTGTACATCATGTCTGGCTATCAAGAAAATATTACAAGACATACTAAAAATAAGGCAAAAAAACAAAAACAAAAACCCACACCAGAATTTGAAGAGCCAGAACAACCACTGGAACCAGACATGGCAGGTATGTTGGAATTATCAGACCAGGAATTTAAAACAGCAACGATTAAGATGCCAAGAGCTCTCGTGGGTAAAGTAGACAGCACACAGGAACAGATGGGCAATGTAAGCAGACAGATGGAAAGTCTAGGAAGGAACCAAAAAGAAACATAGAGATAGAAAACACTGCAACAGAAATGAAGACTGCCTTTGATAGGCTCATTAGTAGACTGGAC